GGGCTCTGGGGAAGGAGAGGGGACCTGAGCGGGAGGAAGGATGGGGGCTGGAGGGAGAACGGAGACCCCGCGAGCTGCGGGGCGGGTGTGGAGGGGACTCCTGGGCGGGGATTCCTGCCCCTTCCCATCCCCGGCTCCTCTCCGTGCCCTTTGGCCCCACCTGATCCTGGGAGGCCGGGCCGGGAGGAGGCTGCTCACGGCAGGATGCGCTTCCCAGGAACGCCCCGCTGGCCGCCGCTCGGCCTCCATCTAGGCACAGGGCCTCTTGTTTCCCGCGGCCTCCGCGCTGCTCGCCCTCCTGACACTTGGCTGTTTCCTGTGTCGAATCTGTGTACTTTGCACATAATGGCTTGTGTGCAGCTAGGTTGCCCTGTGCTACCCACGGGCTGCGAAGAAATGATGTTATTTCCCATCAGAATTGCCCATTCGCATCTTACGTCCCTGTCTCCCGTCTAGTCCCGCCATGCTCAGGTGTGTGAGTTTTCGTGTCCATATGCATCTATTATTGGCTTCCTGTTTCTTGCACATAAACTTTTGCGTGTAGAGATGATACCTTGTCTGGGGGGCTCCTGTGTGCCATCCGTGTTCCCATCACATGCAGCAGTCTTCATGTGCGGGTCCATGGCCTCCCTGATGAGCACACGCTCTTTCCATGATTCGGTTGGCCCCTTTGTTGAGTATATTTTCCCAGTCAGGGCTCACTCTACACATATGCATGCTCCTTCACATGATACGCTGATGTGACATGTCCAACATGCTTCATTATTTCTTAATTTTATGGGCATTGTGTTTTGGGAGTCAAGTGCTCATTAACCCATTTGGCGCTCTATTGTGTTTATAAATCCTTGGATGTTTCTGCTCCAGAGAGGATCGCTTATATATATTACTAGTGCATACCAGAGCGGGTACCTGGGCCTCCACCTCCCCAAAGAACCAGGCCCGGGTGCCTTACCTCGCTGACGTCTCTGCCTGTGTCTCTTCCCGCACATGATCACTCAGTGGCCGTGGGCGTCGGTTCCGTGTGTGCCCTGGGTCAGCCCTGCTGTGCACATGACCTGTCGGCCGCTCGGCACTGTGGCATGTGTTTGATGACAGCGGCCTGTGACTCCCGTTCTGTATGTGTCTCGTGTGTGTGATGGTACGGGCCATCCTGCTTGTTGCCGCTCTGCTTTCACTGTGGCCGTGCAGCACGTGTACGCTCAGAGTGGGTTACTGTTAGGCTCGGCTCCGTGACGCCTTGTCGCTGATGTCCTCAAGAGGGTAGCGAGCTTCCTCGCGCCAGGCCGGGCATCTGCCATTATTACGGTGTGTGGGTGTGTGTGCAGCCTAATGGTGTGCCCAGCAAATGTTTATGCGTGCCTTCTCTGTTCTTCTGCCTGGCATTGGGGATAAGACCGTCCCTGTCCTCAAGCTGCTTATACACTAGAGAGGGAACAGATGCCGGTGAGCAGATAGACACAGTGGTGTCAAGATCAGTGGTTCTCCAACTCACCTGGAAGGCCTGTTAAAACACAGATTAGTGGGCCCAACACCCAGCATTTCTGATCCAGGAGATCCAGGGTGAGGTCCGAGAAGCTGCGTTTCCACACTTTGAGAACCAGTGATGAAGATCAAAGTGTAATGAGAAGTCAGGCCCGGTGGGCCTCAGAAAGACCTCCAAAATGTGACACTGAGCTGCGTGAGGCGGGTGAGGGGCGGGAGGGCGTTCCAGCCGAAAGGAGCAGCATGTGCCAGGCACAGAAGCCTGAGAGGTCCTGGTGTGTCTGAGGAACTGGAGTAAATCAGTTTGGAGTAAAAGGCATTTGTGGGCGTGTGGCCAAAGAAGCAAGCAGAAGTCAACTTGTCAAGAAGGGCCTTTGGGCAAGACAGGAAAAAGCCCAGATTTGTGTTACAGAAGAATCTCTGGTTGCCATGAGGAAGAGGGATTGAAGAGGAAGAGTTAGGAGCCTGTTGCAAAAGGCCCGATGAGAAACGCTGCTCCAAGCCTGCAGGGGCGGTGGGACGGTGGCTCGGACGCCTCCCCTCTCAGAGCTGGCCGTCTCCTTCCCTGTTGCCTGTTACCTTCGCCCTTGGCAGTGGGCTTGCCTTTGAGCACAGCCCTTCCTGTCACTGGAAGGCAGTGTCTTTGGCCTTGATAGTATTTAGCTGAACACCGTTTTTGTGAATTGGGACCCTGCCCCCAGCAGTGGGACAGCGGAGCGGAGGAAGAAGGAAGAGCCTAGAAGGCAGGTTCTGGGCGCCCGTCCGACTTCCTCTTCCAGGGATGGTGGCGTGATGTCCCCTTTACTCTGCCCTCTTTTTTCGCTCGGTGAGACCTTACCTCTGTACATGCCTGGCCAGACTGCTTGCAGGAAGGGCGGGAAGGAGTGGTGGGATTCATTTGTCTGTCTGTGGAGGTAGGATTGATGGATGGAGTTACTCCTGGTGCGTCCATGGCTTTATCTGGAATGGGAGGCCGTGTGGGTGGAGAGGAATATTCTAGGTATGCATTTCCAGTCCTTCCTCTGTCACTGGGTAGGATTATAAATTTGTGTGTGTGTGTGCCGGTCCGTCTTGTGTGTCTGTTTGCCTGCGTGACAGAGCCTTTATTCTTGTCAGCCAGCCCTTGAGAATGTCTGTGGGTGTTTGGTGACTCTCACTGGATCTGCTGTGTGTGCACCTATGTGATATGCACACAGATGGCAGTGGAGCTGAGGGGTTAGGGGCACAAGGCTGCTTAGGTTGAGGCTGGGAAGTGCATCTTAGGTGCCATATATTACCTCCGGTAAGTTCCTTAACTTTTCTAGGCCTGTTTCCTATAAAATGTAAATTTTGTGGTTTAACATAGTGTATAGTATATGTAAACCAGCCCTTTCTAACACAAATATAATGTGTGTCACATATATAATCTTTAATTTTTCTTTTTTAATCCTCACTGAGGATATTTTTTCCATTTATTTTTTTTAGAGAGAGTGGAGGGGAAGGAGAAGGCAGGGAGGAGAGAGAGAGAGAGAAACATCAATGTGAGAGAGACACATCGATTGGTTGCCTCCTGCACATGCTGGAGTTCAAGCCTGCAACCAAGGCATGTGCCCCTGACAGGGAATCAAACTCATGACCCTTTGGTCCACGGGCCGATGCTCTAACCACTGAGCACCCGGCCAGGGCTGTAATTTTTAATTTTTTGGTAGCTACATTGAGAAAGG